CGGGCGTGGTGGCGGGCGCCTGTAGTCCCAGCTACTTGGGAGGCTGAGGCAGGAGAATGGCGTGAACCCGGGAGGCGGAGCTTGCAGTGAGCCGAGATGGCGCCACTGCACTCCAGCCTGGGTGACAGAGCGAGACTCCGTCTCAAAAAACAAAAAACAAAAAAAGAAGTCCCTCAATTCCTATTTCCCTTGGCAAATAGGTTAGACATTCTTATCCATATATAGGCATTACAGCTAGAGGTGAAGAGCACAGCCTCTGGAATCAGAGGGGATTGGGGTTCAAGTTTAAGTTCTATCATTTGCCAGATGATTTCTTAACCGCCCTGTGCCTCCATTTCCTCAACTTCAAAATGGAAATAGTAACACCTGTTTCTAAGGGTCGTAGTGAGGATTGTAGGGCATACTAGACACACAAGACTGCCCAATGAGTGTTAATTGCCATCTTTGTTAACGGGACGCCTATTACTAGGCCAGGTCCAGGCTTAGGTGTATCCCACACGAAGCTAAGCCGGCCACCACCACCCACGGGGAGAAATCAAGTGACTGGCTGCGGGTCTTCTGTGTGCTCCTCCTCCCACAGGAAGCTACTTTCGCCTAAACAAGGACACCTGCCATCCCTGGCTGATCATTTCTGAAGATGGACTTACGGTCGTACGAAGTGAAAGGAGAATCCCCGCCAGGGAGCTGTCATCCAGCGACACCCGCTTCACCAGGTACTTTGTCAACCTCTCACAAGGGCGTTCTGTGAACTTCCGGAAGGTGCCCTGCTATTCAGGTCAAATCCGAATATGGCATGGAGGCAGCCTTGAGGGAAAAGGAATCCCGGAAATGAGTGAGGAGAGGGGAGCCTAGTGGGGAGGGGACCCAGAGGAGTGTGGGTGAGAGGGGTCGGGCAGGTGCCGGCAGAAGAGCCCCCTGGGAGGGCGAGGTCAGGGGAGGGCGCGGTCCCCTGGGAGGGCATGGTCCCCGGGTCTTAGGCTGCCAGAGCTGGAGCAGCCAGTGGTCATGAGGGTGGGACAGGTATTTCTAGTGGAGGGTGTCCAAGTTCTTAGAGTTCTCAACAAAGAATTGGACAAAACGCACAAACAAAGCAAGGAAAGAGGCCAAGCACGGTGGCTCACGCCTGTAATCACAGCACTTTGGGAGATTGAGGCAGATGGATCACCTGAGGTCAGGAGTTCAAGACCAGCTTGGCCAACATGCCGAAACCCCATCTCTACTAAAAATACAAAAATTAGTTGGGCGTGGTTGCGCGTGCCTGTAATCCTAGCTACTGGGGAGGCTGAGGCAGAAGAATTGCTTGAACCCGCAGGGCGGAGATGGCGCCACTGTACTCCATCCTGGGCAACAGAGTGAGACTCCTTCTCAAAAAAAAAAAAAAAAAAAAAAAGCAAGTAAAGAATGAAGCAACAAGAGCAGAGATTTATTGAAAACGAAAGCACACTCCACAGGGTGGGAACGGACCAAGTAAGCGGCTCAAGGGCCGGGTTACAGAATTTTCTGGGGTTTAAATATCCTCTAGAGGTTCCCACTGGTTACTTGGTGTACACCCTATGCATATGAAGAGGCTAAAGTGAAGTTACAAAGTCATTTACTCGGTGTACACCCTATGCAAATGAAGAGTATGTTTCCTGCCACAGCTGAAATACAAAGTTATTTACTTGGACTTCAAAGGTTGGGGTTTTTCCGCTTAATTTAGTTCTAGGAAGTCCTTATGTTCCCTGCCCCCAGACTCTGCTCTGCTTCACAGGGGTCATGCTGTGGGCTAGTGGGAGAACAGAAACAAGGACCTAGATTTCCCACTGGTTAGCCCAGTGCTCTTTCTCCTGCACTGTGGTACCTTATAGCAAAACTCCTGATAGAAAACTGGCCATGGAGTGAGACGGTTCCAAAGTGAGGGGAAAACCATCATTGTGCTGGTGCATGACCTGTGGGCGGGGTGGCCCACCAAAGAAGCTGGCTGGCTGGTCCAGCTATTTCTAAAGCTTGGTACACAACATATGTTGAAATTACTTACATATTCCTTACTTCTTTCCAAAGTTAACAGACAAAATAAGGGGCAAATAAAAATACTGAAATAGAAAAATCAAAGCAATGGGAGAAAAGAAAGGACACAGGTTAACTTCAAGGGCTAATTCAGTTTCTAGGATTAACACAAATATGGCCTCTCAGCTTCCTGATATCCAGGGCAAAAATAGTTCTTGGTAGGTTGATTTTTAGAGTCAAGAGGATCTTCTAGGGAAGCAAAGGGGCTCTCCTATTAGGGCTGGAAGGGCCGCTGATGGAAAACTATCCAGCCTCCCTACCTAGGTCCTGGATAGTCCCCTCAGCTGGCTCTTCCTCTGACCCTGGCTTCCTGCTGGCCTTTTTATCGCACATGGGTTAAGCACCTACTGTATGCAAGTGTCAGTGTGAAAGAGCAGGTGCAGAGGAAAAGATTTTGTCCTTTCCTCCTCTGCCCTTTCAACCCAGGTTTGTAGGGTGTAGAGAGGAGTAAGCAGCAATAAAGGTCTTGCCTGACTGGCACCAAAGCAACGTTTAAAGCTACTCTCATGGGCACTGTCATAAGCCCCTCTGACCACAGCTGTGGGCCCCAGGCAGTCCCCCTCCCTCCAGGGGCCCTTTGCTACCCTTCAACCTTTGCATCCACACAACTCTAGCATCTTTCTGCTGAGGTCTCCTTGACCCCTGCAGAAGCCCTCTTGGACAGGACCCCCTCAAAAACAGCACTAAGACAGCATCCCTGTGGTGGTTGCCAGTCACACCTGGTCCTGGGAAAACACACACCTTGGATGAGGCCACTGCTACTTCACTCTTCCTTTGTGTGAATAAGAAAGCTCTCTGGGCAAAGCCTCAAGCATCTTCAGATTCAACCCTTTGTTATTACACTGAAAAGCTATGAACCCAGTTTTTGGCTCTCTCCTTCTAAACTTCTGCCTAGGAGTCTATTTCTAACATCTCACCATGAAATACAGGAGTTCTTTACACGTATCGTTTGGTTCTTGGCTTCTGGGGATCCAGCTAAGCTGAGTTAGACAGTCCCATTTTAATATCCAGTTGCCAATGTAGCTGTTGCCCTGTGAAACATTGTGCTGTCCTGGGGGACAAAGAGATAAAGATACAGTCCTCGCCCACCTAAGACTCAGATCTCAAGCGAAGGAGACGTGCATGCAAAAGGCACACACATTAAAGGTAAGGTAGATTTATGGACAAAGCATTGTAGGAGCCCCAAGTACAAAGACTTGGAAGGACAAAAGCATGAAGGATAAATAGGAGTTCTCTAGGCCAACAAAGCAGATAGTTGCTTTGTACGTGTACATATGAAAGAAGCCAAAAAGATCATGTTTGGAGAAATATGAGGAATTTGGTATGTCTGCAATATAGGGTCCACGATGGGAAGAGGTGGAAGATGAGGCAGGAAAGTCAGAGAAAGTCCAGTACATACACAATAAAAGTTTGGATTTTATCCTCTATGTGGTGAGAATTATTGGATGATTTAAAGCAGGGGAACAGGATCAGATTACATTTCAGAAAGATTTCAGTGCATGGTAGAACATGAGTTGGGGAGGGAGAGGGAAAAGGAAAGGCAAAGGCAGATAGGAAACAAGGAGACCAGAGAGGAGACTATGGAGGGCTTAACTATGCAGTAGGGTACGTGAGAGGAACCAGTGGAGTCAACAGCTGTTGAGCACATAAAACCAACAAGGCTAGCTGGTCACCTGTTTAAAGGGCATCAGAGAGGGAGATGAGTCAGGGACTATCATATTGCCATATTTATAAAGTGCTTACCAAGTGCTAAATATACTTCATCTCATGCAATCATCCCAACAGCCCTGTGAGGTCTGTACTATTATCAATCCCAGTTGACGGATGAGAAAACTAATTAAAACACAGAGAAGTAACTTGCCCAAGAGTATAATGCTATTAAGGGTTGAAGCAGGAATCAAACTAGAAGGTAACCTTGTAGCCACTACATTATTCCCATCTTAGTTTTCTGCCAAGGGGTTATCAGGTAGATAATGACTATATTAACCAAAATGGAGATGTGAGAAGTATGTACCCCTCCCCACTACACCCCAAACTTTGGTAGATAAGAGGGGTGGGAATATGACTTTCCATTTGGGACATTCCGAATTTGAAACAACAGGTGGAAATGTGAGTCCGGAGCTTGAAGCAGAGATGGCCTCATTTTATAGGTGACGTAACCGAGGTAGAAGTTAACCAACATGCAACCTCCTTCCCAAAGCTTTGCTTGGGCAGTAAGAACTTGGGGTTTTGAGAGTAAAGAGAAAATTTTAAACTGAACAAATCTTTCTAGGGATGTTGAGGGCTATATATATTTTGGTTAATGTAGGAGTCTCCTGAAGAAGGTAGGTAGAACATTCACTTTGGAGATACCAATATAATTTGATTTTCACTGAAAACTTTCCTGTGTTGATACTTTGCTGATGTAGAACAAAACAGTACTCTAACCTTTGTCAGTATAATTGTTCCCAGTGCAACCTTGGAGGTAGATTTTTTTTTTTTTTTTTTTTTTTTGCTGGTTGAATTGTCTTTATTAACAAACAGGATATCCAAGGCCACTACATTGAGGAGGGGTGGGGGGAGGGAGGAGGAGGGTTACTTGCTGCTCACACTATATACAGATGCAAGCAAGGGGCATGGAGAGTGAGGGCTCCCTGCTCCCTTCCTCCACCGGGGAAGGGCATGGGCTAGAAGAGGAGGAGATGGGGGTTGGGAAAGGGGGGAATGTTTTGGCTGGCGGGGTCCCCCCTCCATTCCCTGGAGTTTGGGGAAAGGGGAATCATTAAAGTGCTTTCAGAAAATGAAGAAATGGTCCCTGCCCCTGGAGTGGCTGGTGACCCCCCAAAAATCTAGGGCCCAGTGACCCCCCCCAGGGTCTGGTACATTCAAGGGGGGAGCCGGCTCCCCTGACGTGCAAATAAAGGGGTCCAGGGCCCTGCCCAGTCAGCAGCAGTGGGGTAAGGAGGTAGATTTTAATGATCTGTGAGGAATCTGCTATCTTGTTCTTCTTGGGCCGGCCTCTGAATTATTGTCTTCCTCCAGGAGTCATCCCTAACATGATAGCTACCTCAAAGGCCTTCCATGTTCATTTAGTACAATAAGCAATGGTGGTGAACTTCAAGCTTATGGTTCCCTTAACTGTGCTGTGTTGTATATTTTCAACCCTTTTCTTTTTTTATGAACAAGTGAACCAAACCTTTTTCTATAAAAGCCCCAACAATTTTAAAGAGCAAACAAAACTTGTTCTGTTGGTTTAGTGCCTCCTCCTCTCCCATTACCAAGCTGTATCATAATCTTCTTTAATCTTCAGCATCAGCCCACTGAGCTTTGAGAGCTAAGGGTGCTTTTACAAGTTAAGTGTCCAGAAGCACCTACCACCACATTGGTAGACCACCGACTGATTGATCCCAGCAGCTGGCTTCACTGACCTGCACAGCCAGGCTTGGGGCACCCCAAATCACACATGCTTCCACTTTCTAAAACCAGGTGTGTTGCTGTCATGGGAAATCTAATTCCAGTCCGAGGGCACCATTACTGGGAGGTGGAGGTGGATGAGCATTTGGACTATACAGTTGGTGTGGCCTTTGAAGATGTCACTAAACAGGAGGATCTGGGAGCAAACTGCCTCTCCTGGTGCATGAGGCACACATTTGCATCATCAAGGTAAAGTAAAATCTGGATACTCACAATTAAAATTTGTTTTTGAAAGATTACAGCAAGACCTTTTTACTAGCAATAATTAAGACACACGTTATGTTTTACAAATATTCTAAGACATTTCAGGAGTTGCTGCCAGTCATTTTCCCTAAAGTCCAAGTAAGAGGAGAAAGAGCAGCTTTTCTCTGAGCTAAAAATAGCTAAAATTTATGGAGAATTATGTGCCAAGTACTCTTACATGCATTATCTCATTTACTTCTCACAATTGTGTTATCTCATTTTAAAAATCAGAATGCTGGGTACAGTGGCGTGCACCTGTAGTCCCAGTTACTCAGGAGAGTGAGGTGGGAGGATCGTTTGAGCCCTGGACTTCAAGGCCAGCTTGGGCAATATAGCAAGACCCCTTCTCTAAAACAAAAACAAAAACAAAAATAAAAGAATAAAAATAAAAAGACCACACCTCACAGCAATTAGATAATCCAAACGACATGGATTTGGAACTTGGATTCAAACTCAAGCAGTCTGGCTCCAAAGAGTTCATTCCTAACCACTTAAGTGATTGATTTTTTCATTTCTGTTCACCTTTAGTATTAAGCCAATACAGTTTGCTTTGAAGCCCCAGTTCCATCTTTTTAAGTGAATGTGGGCAAGAGGCTTAGTAGTTATGGCTAATTCTGGTTTGCTCCTGCTGCTGGGCACTCTGTCTTTACACATGGAGTAGTTCCATATAGTAGGAAAAAAAGTCTCATGCAGCCCAGGTCAATGAATAAACTTTCAGACTTAGAACAACCTTCCTTCACCTCAAAAACTGAAAAACAAGACCCCACACTGCTTTCCCATCACACCTTGTAAAATGGGGCCTCTGACCCTCCTTGGTTTGATGAATCCTATTAATGTTCATCCAATGTTCTCTGCCCATGGTCCTCTATCATGGTTATTCATGCCCAAGCATAAGTGGGAAGACCAACTTCCCCCTGATAACAGATGAGGACACTAATGAAATCTACTAAACTTCAGACCCAGTTTGGGGAATGCAAGAATTACTATACACTGAGGCAGATACTTTATTTGGGGATTCTGCCTGAAGTAAGGCTAAAGATCAAAGTCTCTTCTTTAGAAAGGCAAGAACAAGGGGCAGAGTAAAACTAAGGGAGCATAAAGAAAGCCTAGAAGTCCGTGTGTAGGGTGAGGAATAAGGGGAGTAAGAAGAGAGAATAGAAGAGGGATGGAAGACAAAGGAAGGGCAAAAGCTACAGGCCAAGTGCTGGAGCCAATCCAGTTTCTTACAGATGTAGGGGTGTGTGTGTGTGTGTGCACGCACGCGCACATGTTACAAATGGAGAATGAAGGTAAGGCATCCTAGGATAAGGTCTCCTAGCAGATTTGCATTTTTGGCTCATAGTATTAGACTCCATTGGTGGTGGGAGAGAAAGTACAGGAAAGGACTCATATAGCTTCTGGCAGCTGCTTAGTTAAAATAAGGTGAAATGGGCTAGAGACAGGCTGGCTTCCTCTGACATGTTTAGATCGTATTCCAAGTGTTCATCCCAGCAGCCTAGACTAGCCTGTTGACACAAAAAGCTTTTCAAGTATCTGTAGGTAGCAGGGTTAGGAAATTCCTGTGACAGGTTTTGGTTTCTGCCATTTTTCAAAGTACACAGGATGCAGAGCACGGATAGTGATATAATATTGATTGGTAACAGGCCCACTGGCTCCCCACTCAATTTGAAAGTTTAAGAATTGGAGTAACTGTGCAGAGAAGAGCTTATGCCAAGAGGCCCATTTTATCACATGGAAAATCACAAGGTTCCCTGTTTCAAATGTCTAATCCAAATTTTAAAAACATGTTCTATTCCTATGCTAGTTTAGATGCAAGAGAGTTCAGGATGCTATAGGTAAATTTCTTAGGTTAAGAGGTTACTAGAGAAAAAATGATGTTTGAAAAATGTTTCGGCCAGGAGCAGAGGCTCATACCTGTAACCCCAGCACTTTGGGAGGCCAAGGTGAGCAACTGCCTGAGCTCAGAAGTTCAAGACCAGCCTGGGCAACACAGTGAAACCCTGGTCTCTACTAAAAATACAAAAATTAGCTGGGCTTGGTGGTACATGCCTGTAATACCAGTTACTCAGGAGGCTAAGGCAGGAGAATCGCTTGAACCCGGGAGGTGGAGGTTGCAGTGAGCTGAGACAGCACTACTGCACTCCAGCCTGGGTGACAGAGTGAGACTCCGTCTAAAAAAAAAAAAAGAAAATGTTTCTTAGGACAAATTTTAGAAAAGAGATAGTTTAGAGAATATAGTTTTAGAAATGGCTTGTCACTTTGGTAGTCATTTAATACTAGAAAGTAGCAAAATCATAGGACTATCAATAAAATTAATATGAAATGTTCTATAAATAGTAAATCTATAGAATTACTGAAACTTTATTATGTCAAATTTAATTTTCAGGCACAGGTATGAATTTCTGCACAACAGAACAACTCCGGATATAAGAATAACAGTTCCTCCAAAGAAGATTGGCATTCTATTAGACTATGAAAATTCCAAGTTGTCATTTTTCAATGTGGACCTTTCTCAGCATCTATACACATTTAGTTGTCAGCTTCACGAATTTGTGCATCCCTGTTTTTCTTTGGAAACCCCTGGGTGTCTAAAGGTACATAATGGCATTTCAATGCCAAAACATGTCACTTTCTATTAGAACATTCTGATGTCCAGTTTCCTGTCTTCCATGCCTACCCCTCTTGCAGCCAATCACGCCTTAGCTGGCTGAACATGGCATTTAAGCACCATGTGCCCAGCACAATTTATGGCTCATGTTATTATCTGGCAGAATGGTGTGCTGGCGCTCATTTCACCCAACCTGGATTCTAGTCCTGTGTGCTGCTAAGATAGTCATTACCAGGCCCAGCTGTAAAATAAAGGCTCAGACTAAATGAACTCAAAAGTCTTTAAAGTTGTTAAACTGTAGTTGTGTATATGCAAAATATGAGTTTCCAAAACCTAGAGAGCTTGGAAGATGAGGAGGGTAGTCTTAATGGCTCCAGCAGCCCCAGTACACTCATGCATTTCATGAGTCAGCCAATAATATACTTGAGAAGGCGAGAGGCTGTCTGTAGAAAACCAGGGAAGCTGTGTGCCCTTCTCAACGTCTTCTACCCTCATTTTCCCAATAGTGAGCAGCACTGTGGTGAGGTCCCTTCCACTATGTACTCTTTATAACACCCTCTTCCACTCCTACACAGTATGCACCACTCTCTAATTTTGAAATTACCTCTATAATGCCCAATTCCACGAAGGCAGGGACAGTGCCTGTTTTGTTAATTGCTAGATCCCCAAGGGCTAACACACAACAGCTGTCACCAAGTATTTGTTGAATAAATGAGTATCTTCTTCAGCCACTGCTCTTTGGCCTCTCACTGCTCTCCATGTGAAGGATGGCAGGGCTCTTTCAAAACTATAGCAAAGGACCTATGGCCAAGAAATGGGAAAAAACCTGGAATGGAGGCAGCGTGAAAGAACAGAAGGGCATCTGTGGCATATTAGCAAATGAACAACGATTTTTTAAAAGAAATTAACAGCCCACCAGAGGGCAAAGCTGAGGACGGGAAGGAAGACTGATCTCTAGCTAGGCAGCTTTCAGGCATCCTGCCTCACTGCCCCCAGGCCATTCTGTGAGCTCAATGCCCAACTCCATTAGCTACATTCCTGGTTCTCCTGTTCAAGTTTCCAGTTGCCACTTAAGCTCTGCACACATAGCATTTTCAAAGCTTGTGAGTGAAGCTGCAGAATAATTCCATTTGTGAAGCAATTACAATTCAGTATCACGTCCCACGGATGCCTCTAAACCCAGATATGCCCTAATCTCATCATTTAAGGTTTTGTGTTTTAAAAAAAGTCCACTTTGATGTTTTCTGGTGAAACCCTGTCTCTACTAAAAATACAAAAAATTAGCCAGACCTGGTGGTGGGTACCTGTAATCCCAGCTACTCAGGAGGCTGGGGCAAGATAATTGCTTGAACCCGGGGGTAGAGGCTGCTGTGAGCCGAGACTGTGCCATTGCCCTCCAGCCTTGGCACAAGAGCACAACTCTGTCTCAAAAACAAACAAACAAAAAAACCTCTGATGTTTTCCAGCACATGCAAAGCCTGACAAACTGAAAGACTCTCATCTTCTACTAAACTCTGGCTACTGGTATAAATGGCAGCTCAGATTCCTGAATTAACAGTTCACACTGACAGTTTAATAACTCATTATACACACACATACCTAGCCTGCCAAGCTGGACTGTCTACTCTGAAACAAGGGACAGCAGATGTAAGCACAGAAATGGTTCCAGTTATAAACAAACAAAAGATACATATATGTATATTAAAAAATGTTCTCAGCTACTGAAATAGAAACTACCAAGTAAGAAACAGGATATCACAGAGAAGGCAAGTTTGAATTCAGGGTTCTAATAGGCTTTATGGAATACTACACGTTAATATGAACACGGATAAATGGATTAAAAACTCGACACCTGTAAAGTTTTAATTAAATTTTTATTTGACCAAGAAAAAACTGTCTACAACTGTCTGACATTTACACCAAATGTCAGACAAATCCACTTAAGGCAGATTAGGAACTTCAAGCATCACAATTATTCAGCATAAAGAGCCTTTGTTGAAACATCTTTCTCATTTATTTAGAAGAAAAACATCTAGAACAGAACCAAACAAAACTTCTGTGTTTTTGTAAAAAAAATTCCAATTCCTTAAACTACTATAAACAATCTACTGAAACTGTATTCAACAAGGGACAGGATTTACCTCAAGGCCATGTTCACCTGCAACATGCTGATAAGTCTGTTAAAAAACAAAGCAAAAAAAGAGTTTTTAAAAATTAGACCACTGTAGCCACAATCCCTAACACTGGACAGTTAAAACAAAAGATATCAAAATCTGTTCTTTTCTTAGCTTTACCTGTATCACTTTATAACTCCTAAGAAAGTCAATTCACATAAGCTGTGGCCTCCCCACCTTAACAAAGGGGAAAAAGAATATGTAAAACTACCACAGAATCTTGGTGTAAACTAACATGGGTTTAGTAACACAGAGTGCAGTATTAAGAATTTAAGGCACCCTTATAAGTCAGTCAATTGGAAAGTTGGTTTGAGACTTGCAAACTAAAATGACACTGGTTTCTGATAAAATTAAATGACTTTTATTTTAGAAAAGTGTGTTTAATAAATTACTTCCTGCTGGTTCAAATGACACACAATCACTTGTATACATCCACTAAGATATTTCTGAAGTGTATACTTAGTCAAAAGTAAAAAGCAGAGCAAATGCATGGGCAGTGGGGCCTTTTTCTTAATACTTCTCATCCTCCAAAATCTGTTAAAATCATCATCTTCCACAACTCACACACTGGAAGCTGTCCACAGCACAATTCACTATGATGTGGCATTCTGTAAATAAGACTGTATTGGTCTTGATGCAAGCAGGTTCAGCTACCATACTGCACTATAAGAAAAGTCCTCTCCTCAACTTACCAAGACAACTTCTCCAATTTCTAGTCACCTTCCTATCAATTAGTAGAGCAAGATTCTCACATGTTCACTATGTCTTTCTGCAGTTTTCTCATCTATAAATGTACTACTCCTATTTTCTATAGAAAGACAATGGAAAGCATATAATTGCTGTTGGTAGATAAGTAGGCCTTGAGTTTATTTTGCAAACAAGACCTGTTCTATCTACCTTTTCATTTAGGAGGCTAAAAGCAGAGTCAGCTTGATTTCAAGGACTCTATTTTCTTAGTCTCCAGAAGAACATAACCAAATCCGACTTTTAAAACACTGTCCTTTACCATGTCAAGATACTCAAATAAAGATAATTTATAACTTCAAGCTATAGGAGATTAACTCTGTCCATATGCTTGTTTCACTGTAACCAATGGTTAATTAATCTAAATGCAAGAGAAGTGTTTGTTATTTGGAAAGAAGACCCCAGCTGGTCAGCATCTTTTCTGTCATCCGGAAGTCCCCTGGAAGGAGTATGACTATGACCTGGGCACAACAACTGCCCCTAAGTTAGTACTTATTTTAGAGTTGCTACTGAACAGGTGGTGGTTCTTGTCAAGTATATCATGTCTGACTATTTCATTGTTTGTTTTCTGCTATCATCAGTTCCAGGAAAAAAAAAAAAAAAAAAGCCCAAATTGATTGCTTTTTCATTTTGCCAGAATGTGACCGAATCATGGTTTTTAGCTCTATTTTCACCTTACTCAAATCCTGGAGGAATTAAACTATCATTTATTTGAAACGTTACAAATTAGCCTCCAGCTGATTCAAACAACATGTAGTCACTCAGACATAGCCAATAAAAATGTTTTGGTAGTATGAACTTGGATTCTAATCTTGCTGTCTCTCCTACTCTCATTCCTAAGTTTAAATGTTAGGTCTCTTGCTTGAAAGGAATTTAAGAGATGCCCTTAAATTCAAACAGACTGGATTGCAGAAAGGAATATAATCCATTCACTGGGAAAATACACAACCAACAAAACTGAGATTTCCCAACTGTGCACTATAACAATGCAGAAACACAGTTTTAGAGATGGCTTTACTGGGTATATACATTGCTCTTTGTAGACCCATCTATTATTCTGCCACCCAGAAAGATTCTTACCCTCCTACTTCCTTCCTACTAAATGAATGTTTAAATTAAACATTTAAATTAAACATTCATTTAATTTAAAGGTGATAGGGCCAGGGAGAGGGAAGGAAAAAACAAGAAGCACTATCCAAAAGTAAGACCAGTACTTTGGAGAAAGGTAAAAGATACTCAACATTGTTTTTTGTACCATTTGCAATATATAAACCAGCCACAGAGTCCTAGGCACCCAGAATGGACCTCCCCTTCCTTGTCTACCTAATGCCTGTATAGCCTCTTGGAAACACTGCCTTATTCCTCCCCGTCCCAGGAGAGGTTAAGTGCCACACTCACCTCTTTTAGATTACTTAAGTAGCTATACTGCAATCATTGACTTGTGTCTGCTCCACTTGACTATAAGCAAATTGAAGGCAGGGTTTGTGCCTTCATAATCTCTGAATGATCTGAAGATGGAAATAACTGCTTCGTGCTTTCAGGGAGCTCATATACCTGCAAAGAGAAAAGAGACATCAAATTATCTTCCAAATCAAAGGAAAAGTCTCTTTATTAGAAAGCAAAGCAGCTTTCAAATTTGTGTGTGGTTGGGGAGTAGAAGGAAACATTAAAATATGAATCTGCTGGGCACGGTGGCTCATGCCTGTAACCCCAACACTTTGGGGGGCCAAGACGGGCAGATCACCTGAGGTCAGGAGTTTAGACCAGCCTAGCCAACATGATGAAATCCCATCTCTACTAAAAATACAATAATTAGCTGGGCATGGTGGCGGGCACACGTGATCCCAGCTACTCAGGAAGTTGAGGCAGGAGAATCGCTTGAACCAGGGAGGCGGAGATTGTAGTGAGCCGAGATGGCCGCCATTGCATTCCAGCCTGGGCAACAAGTGTGAAAACTCCGTCTAAAAAAAAAAAAAAAAAAAACCCAAAATATCAACCTTTCTTCTGTCCCAATACATCTTAAAGATCTGATACACAGTCCCATTACTAACAGTGCTCCATGGTGACTTCTAATCTAGGCAGAGTGGGAGGGGGCACAGAATGATCTGGGGATGGGAAAGATGTGGTTTAGAATGCTCTTCCCATCATTGCAAGAGACCTTTGACACATTTAATATATATTACAGTTAGACTATCCTTACGAGAGCCCAAAGATCTTCAACATGTATATTTTAAATGTTCTGAATCATAAATTTGGTTCATATGCCCTGGAGGCTAGTGAGTGAAAGCTGCCCCCTTGACTACTGAGTAAGCTTAACTGTCAATCCTATATTTATAGCACAACATGAGTAT